AAGTAAAATAAAAGTCAATTTTTAACGTAAGATAATTATTCCAAACTTGAAATAATATCATTAGTTTTGAGTAATTCTGTCCCTCCACTCCAGTCCCTCACGTAATTGTTACGTGAAAACTTGAAATTTTCAGGAGCACTTCCTGAAAATTTCAAGTTGATTGCTTTTACACTTTTTAAATAAACCCATTTTAGGTTTTGTGCAATATCGAAAAAAAAAATTCTGTAAAAAACGCTTTTAAAAACGTATAATAATATTTTCAAATATTTTCCTGGAGAGTAAGATTTTCCACCTTCAATATCCTTTTCTTTATTAATATGTCCCCTTTTGACACCTCTTAAAATTTTTCTGTTCTTTTTAAAAGCTTCAGACGATTTTCTTTTTAATTGACGTTGACGGTGGTTGTCTATTTTACACAAACCATAATTACCAAGATATTCGAGTTTGAGATTTAGAATCTCGAAAACTTTTGAAAACCAGATATTCCATCATTAAAATGAATAACAGCTAAAGCTACACCAATATCTAAAACTTTTTTGCAAACAAATGCATCTTTAAGACACCTTTTCCAAATTATTTAATTAAATGCTTCATTTAAATTTTGGGTAGTACCATGAAGACATTGTTTTAACAAATTTTCAGAACATAAATCAATAAAAACCGGTTTTATTGCTATATGAATAGTTAATGGTATGTTTACAGAAGATATGAGAGAATTACTTTTACTCAATTTACTTTACCCCAAAATGCACACCAACTGTTATTTAATCTAGGACAAAATTGATGACGAACGTTACTATCTGTCATATTTGTACAATGCCATAACACTGCAAGAACAGACTTCTTCATATTGTTAAGTGCCTTTACTTTGCCACTATTTCAACATGGTTTTTAACTAGAAAAAATTTTTAACTAGAAAAACGATTACATTTATTTTAAAGTTTTTTAACTTTTTAATTAAAGGTGTATTTAAACTATCAAGTTTTTAGGTTGCACAAGCAATTAGATACTGAAAACTTAATTTAGTTGACTTAAAAAACAAGAATTAACCGTTGCTAAGGGCGTTGCTATAGAAGCTGAAAAGACTCTACCTTAAAAAAATGAAATTACTCATAATATTGGATTTGAATGTATATAAAGATATATATATATATTCTGAATCTATATTAAATTTCGAATAAGAAAACATAATTTTTTATTTGATTTTTTTTATTGTTTTTTAACCATAAAGCCACCTTAAGACATGTACCAGAAAAGGTCTGCGCGTGTTCTGATGTGCATTACTTTAATTTGCTAATTGTTTTAAAATGTTATTGCGTTAGTGTTATTCAAAATATAAACAACTCTAATATTAAAAAAAGAAGTTTTTGTTTGACTAGACCTTGTTAAAAAAGTATATTTTAGAACTTTAGCATATAAATTAAAGATAATTGCTTCCACCAAAAACAGCTTGAAGAGGAATTGTGGCTGTGAATCTTATGAAGTTCCTTGTCGTAAAGAATAGCAAAAAAATGTTGAAATTTGTTGTTTAAAGTTGCTCTACAAAAAACTATGTGCTAAATATCTTGTTTGACTATTGATGATGAAACTTATTATGCTGCATAAATCCGAATTCTTCTAGGACACTAATATTATTCGCAAGAATAAACTAGCTTAGGGAATAAAGAAGATTTTGTTGAAAAACACTGCAATCCACCAAACTTTTCAGAATTACGTCTTATTGAAAGATATTGGAATATTGTCAAAAAAAGACTAAGGTTTAATGTAAAAATTTAAAAACTAATGGATTAGAAATCTCTTCTAAGAAATTTCAGACGAAGAACGTGCAAAGCTGATGGTGAGTGTAAACACTTATGTGAAATTTAAGAATATTAATATATTTACTTTCAATATATATATATAATATTCATTATTGAAATACGATAGTTGAATAAATATCCTTAAAAAATTTTTTGATTTATGTCTTATTTGGATATCATATTTATATATTTGAGGCATATCATTTGGCAAAACATTTTTGGTTTTTGGATCAAATCGAGTCAATATGAACCATTTTGAAATTTTAATTAGCTCCATATTTGTCATTAAATAGCGTTATAGTATTATTACTAGACAAGAAAAAATTTGTGTTATCAGCAAACACACTGTCTATAATTTACAATGCCTAAAATTTAAAGACAGTGTATTTGCTGATAACACAAACTTTTTTTTGTCTCGTAATAATACTATCACACTATTTATTATATAATAATATTATAACACTTTTATAATATAAAGATAATTAATATAACTGAGAAAAAAAAGGTGGTCCTAGTATAGAGTTCCTTGTTCCTTGGGGAACACCACATTCCAAGTTTCAAGTTCCTATGGGAATACCACATGTTATATCTAGTAAATTTGTAGAGAATGATTAAGATCTACGTGTTCAGTCAAATTATATTTTTCCGTATTGGCTTGTATTTAATTTTTTATTTATAGAAAGTTGATCGTAAACTTTCTATAAATAAAAAACTAAAACTACATTTGTTAACAAATCTTTCTAAATACTGTATTAGTGTTTCCATTATTTCCGCACTGAATCAGACCAGATTGTTTCCAACGAGTTTAACTGCAGGGTCTTAATCGTAACAACTGAGATGATGAATTTTCAAACATCCTTCCAAACGGGCGTGACATAGAGCATTTTCTGTACGACGATAAATCCTTTAAATAATTCCTGAATATAACCCTCTTTAAACATAGCCAATATTCACTCGTTACAAGAGTCTGCTTTAAAAGATTCTCTGCGAGTTTCTATCACGACAATATTTGTTGTTGATATAGCTGCAATCAAATGCATGTTTGCACCTTTTATAGCATGTATTTTCATTATTGCTCTTTTTCCCAATTTGGCATGTCCTTGCATTTTTCTACAATAAAGATTTAAATTTGTTATATCTAACCAAGCTATCTAATGATCGTTTGTGATGTGTTTGTAGATGTTCCTAACATATTCAGCTCTTTTTTTATTTGTTCTCATTACTACTCATTAAAGCAGGTTCCTAGCGCGTTTTTAGATAAAATTAGCGAATATTGTTGTGCTAACGCTAATATTAAATTGTCTTGATATTGTTGTTTTAATGGCTATTAATGTCAATTGAGAGTTACTTTCAATCCATGCAGGGTTTTTTCAATTTGATCATCGGTTAAATTTTTTTTGGTTTAAAACCACCTCTTCAAATGTAATTTGAACATCCGCTTTGGACCCAAATGTATGCTGTCTTATATTTGACACCTAAAGTTTGCACCAATTAGTTTTCATAAGTTTGAGTCACCCAATCGTCACACAGTTGTCATTTAGCTCAGCACATTTAATAACTCATCTTCTATCATTCGGTAAAGGTAAAACATAATGTTTTTTTTTCAAGTTGTTCAGTTGAATGTAGTTTTTGTCGACAAATCGGACAAATTGGTTCTGGTTATTCCAGAAGCGGATGTAAACAAATTTAAAAAAATAAATGCTGACACTGATTTAATTTAGTAACAGACTTTTTGTTCATAGTGTGTTGACAAATGACACAATGATCTTTAAATTCTATTATTACCGTTGATGCATAAAAATGTTAAATTTGATTCTTATTAAAATGCATTTCTAAGAAGATCTTTTATTATGACCTTTAAGCTGACGTTGTGAATTTGCAGTTTCAAATTATGTCTTCTCATTTACATATGATTACATATAATTCTTAATTACATTTTTGTTTTTCAAATTACATATTGCGACTTCATAATTACATATTGCGACTTCATAATTACATATTGGGTTTCTCAATTACATTTTACGATTTCTTAATTACATTTTGTGATTTTTAGATTCATTTTAAGATTTCTAATTTATATGTTGTATTTCTAAATTACATTTTGCGATTCCTTAATAACAAATTTTATGCTCTCAATTACTTATTAAAAAGGTGTAGAAAGTACAGAAACCGTACAATAATTAGTTATATTTGTTAATAAAAAAGTTTTAAACCACATTTGCTTTGGATAAAAAGTTTTAAATTAATCTTTTTTTGATTTCATTAAAAGTCAGGATTAGGGATCATGTTATATGTTAAGGAAGCTGAATTTAAAGTTACTTTTGTTGGTTTATTGATTAATTAAAGTGCACTGCTTAAAAAATAAAAAACAATTATAAAACTATTTAATTTTTCAATTTACGTGATATTTGATATGCATTTAAATTTATGTCGCCAATTTAGTAGTTTAATTTCTTTTTTAATTATTTATGATATTAGTAATTGAATAGAACTTAAAACTCTTTATTTCACTAGATGGCGAGCGATAGCAACAACTTAGAAGTATATTTTCAGTTTTTTAGGGTAAAATTTCATGAATCTAAAATTGTTTATCGGCATAAAAAATATATCAGACCTATTTTTAAACAGCTTTCTCTCACTTACATCTACACACACTACATTAAGTTAGTAATAGATTGTTTAAAATATTTAGAGTTTCTTCCTTAATATTTTTAAAAACTTAAAAACTCTCTTTTAAACTTCTAATCGCAAAATGTATCACATTTAAACAGTCTCGCTTAAGAAGTCTTAATCATAAAAAATCTCGCTTCAGAAATCTCAAGAGATTATTTCAGATGAAGATAATGAAGCATGAAGTTAGTACTTAAAATGTTTGGTTATTTATGTTTGCTGATACTAAGCAAGAACAAACTATTGTTTTAATACCCAGCAATTTTTTTATTTGTACAAATGCGTTACCAAAGCTACAAGTTTTACATGGAATCAAATGAAATTTTTTTAATTATAAGTTTACCATCCATTATATTTAAATAGTTTCAAGTTGACCTGATATTGTTTATAAAGGCATGTTTTGGATATGAAAAAAAGCTTGTTTCGAAAATTGGTCTTCACAGAACGCCTGACTTTATATTTTGCAAATACATTTGTGTAAATAGAGTTTTGCACGCTCATTTTTTAGTTAGTTATACACAGACACACAAAAAATAATTTTGTATTTATTCAAAAATAGAACAATATCATACAAAGTATTTACTATATTTCAACAAATATTTACTTTGTCACGAAGAAAAAATTGCGAACGCAGTCGCGAGCAAGTTTATTTAAAAAATATATAAATTTAATTTTATCTTCATTCAGATAGGAAAAAAAAATTGAATTTTAAAGAATACAAATAGAGGAGGTTATGAAACAAAATGGTTATTTTAGAGTTATTTAAAATAAAATAAAAAAGGGACTTTTTGGTGCAAGTGCAAAATTTTTAATTATGGAAAATAATTAAGTATTAGGAATAAGACAAACGCAAACTTAAAGTGCGAAAAAATTCAGTTACATACATTGATGATGATAAAACTTCGATCAAATTTTTTCCTTCTTTTTCGCAAATTTCAATCCAGCGTTTTGTTATTTGTGTACTCTCATGTTTATCCCCTAAAACATTTTTTTGTACATTTTCTACTTCTCTTAATATTATCTTTGCCTCATCATATTGCTTTTTTTCATATAAACATCTTGCAACACAAAATTTGGTATTTAACAGTGCTTCCGTATTATAGTTTTTCGCTTCCTTAATTAATCTTTCTTCATCGTCTAATTGTTCTTGATCGTAAATATGTCTTGCAATACAAAATTTAGTACCTTGTATATTAATATTTTTATCTTCTACTATCTCTTTCAACAAAACTTCTTTTTCTCGGTATATCTTTTCTGCATTATCATATTGCTTTTTTCCAAATAAACATTTTGCTACCCATTCCTTATTAATTATCGAATATAAATTTTTATATCCAAATATTTCTTTACTTAAATTATCTATTTCTCTGAACATGTTCTCCGCGCTATCGTATTCTTTTTTTTTAAATAAGCAAATACCAATCCAATATTTGGCGTTTATTGAATATTCAATTTTATCCTCTAAAAATTTTTTACTAATTTTTTCTGTTTCAATAAAGATATCGACAGCATTGTTATAAAGTTTCTTTTTATACGCACATCTTGCTATCCAGTATTGAGCTCTACATGAAGTTTCATGTTTTCCTCCTAAAACATTTTTTTGGGTATTTTCTATTTCTAAGAATATTTTCTCAGCATGGTTGAATTCATTCTTTTCATACAAGCATCTTGCAAACCAGTATTTAGCATTAAGTGTACTTTTATGATTATCACCGAAAACTTCTTTTTTTAAATTTTCTAGTTCTCTGAACAAATTTTCTGCATTATTGATTTTTTTTAATCCAAATTGGCACATTGCAAACCAGTGTTTTGTATTTATTGTACATTGGTGTTTTTCCCCTAAGTCATCTTTTTGTATTCTTTCAACCTCTAAAAATCTTTTTGCTGCATCATCAAATTGTTTGCTTTCATGTAAGCATCTTGCATACCAGTATTTAGTAAGTATTGTGTTCTCATGTTTCTCCCCTAGCACCATATTCTGTATGCATTCAACGATCATAAATATATTTTCTGCGATATCGAACTTTTTTTTTTCAAATAAGCATCTAGCATACCAGTATTTTGTGATTAGTGTACTTTTATGGTTATCACCTAAAACCTCGTTTTGAATATTTTGTACTTCTTCAAAAATTTTTTCTGCATTATCAAATAGTTTTTTTTTAAACAAGCATCTTGCAATCCAATACCTAGTATTTAGTGTGTTCTCATGTTTTTCACCTAAAACTATTTTCTGCTTACATTCTACTTCTATAAATAATTTTTCTGCGGTCAAGATCTTTTCTTTCATTTCAAACCAGCACATTGCAATCCAGTATTTGGTACTTAATGTTTCCTCATGCTTTTCACCGATAATTTTTATTTGAATATTATAAATTTTTCTGAATATTTCTTCTGCACTACATATTTCTTTTTTTGAGAACAAGCAATGCGCAATTAAAAATTTTGTTTTAAGGGTGTCCTCATGTTTCTCACCTAATACACGCATTTGCATGTGTTCTACTTCTCTAAATATTTTTTCTGCGTCATCTAATTGTTTTTTCTCACTCAAGCAATAAGCAATGAAGTACTTTGTTTTGAGTGTATATTTATGATTTTCTCCTAAAATTTTTTTTTGCATAAGTTCTAATTCTCTAAACATTTTCTCAGCGGCGTCTATCTTTTTTTTTTTTAATAAACATATTGCATTCCACTGTTTTGTATATAATGCATCCATATTGTTCTCTCCTAGAACCTTTTCTTGCATGGTTCTTACTTTTTTAAAAAGTTGTTCAGCGTGATTGAGTTGATTTTTCTCATATAAACATCTTGCTATCCAGTATTGAGTATTAAGAGTTTGTTGATGCTCACTACCAAAAATTTCTATTTGTTTATTTAACATTTCATTATAATGTTTTTGAGCGATGCTGAATTTCTTCATTTTAAAAGCATTTTTTGCCATCTCCAATATTTCTGTTGAATATTTTTGAAAAAAATCATCTGAAAAAAAAAAGTTAAATAAATAACTTAAATATTATAATAATAATACAAGAAGCAACATTTACAAACTGATATAAGTAAATATAGACCAATATTCGCATTGGACACAGACGTAAAAAAGACGTCTTTTTTTAATCCGGTGCCCACTGGGTTAAATCTTTATATTTTCTAAACTCCTTTAAAATATAATTTACAAGAGACTGTATAAACTCTTGATAGAACTTAGAATCTTAAGTAAAAATCAATATGGGTTTCTAACGCAGCGTTTAAAGGAACATTCTATTCTAGATTTCATCAATAACAAAGTTAACAGTGGCATCAGTGACAACTGCTTCAAAGCGAAACTCGATCAGCTATTACAATATTTACCATAAAAAAGACACAAGACCTTGCTTGTTTCAACTTTTTCAACAACCGCGTTGTTTAACCATGGAACGCACTACCTAAAACTGTTGTCAGTATCAACAGTGTCAACTGCTTCAAAACAAAATTCAATCAGCTATTAACATAATTACACAGTACATCATCATCAATACAATCTTACACAAGCTAGCTGGGCTATTACGGTTAATTTTTACCGAAAGAAGTTAGCTAAGCAAAAACGTCAAAAAAATGTCAGTTTACAATTTTTTGTTTGTCGCTGTCAAATTTTTTTTCTTTCTTTATCAATTATTTCTCTTTCCAATAAACGGCCGAGAATATTTCGCACAAGGGAAGCAAGTAGGCTAAGGCTCAAAGGTTTTTACCCCTAATAAGTTCATAAATTCGTTGGTAATTAACATGGAAGATAACAAAAAATAAATTGAAAAATAATTGTTTTGTTTGATAAAAAATTTATTTTAAAATTAAATACTGTCTTTTTTGTTAAGTAATATTTAAAAACAAAATTGTTATCAGTTTTGAAGATGCGCCGTACGAGGGTGGGAAGTGTCTTGGCAAGATAAAGGGGGGGGGGGGGGGGAAGAGGTAGGGGATTTTGTTTTTTCACATTTTGTAATTTTAAAAATTTGATTGCAATTAGTTAACTAAAACTCAATAGTTACTTTGAAATTACCGAATAGTATCTTTTGAAATTACCGAATCTTTTAGAAAAATCTTCATTATAGGTATTTTTCTAGCAATTTTGGCAATTTCTTAACAACTTTTGCACGGACTTGGTCAATTCCTGAATAAAAAGCTTATCTTTCAGTTATTATTCTTCGCATTAAAGCAATCATTGTAATTTATAAACTTTATAAATTCATCATGTGCTTTCTTGATTACTTTGCCAATATTGTCTCTTCCACTTATTGGAGGAATAATTGCCATCATATAATTCTCCAGAAAAATTATCAATCGCAAGAGACAATATTTAATTAATGGTTAAATTTTAAAGGTTTGCAAGCAGACATAGTATTACTTTCTACTTTGTTGTTGGTTTGTGTTTCTTAATTTCCTTGTCAATGATACCAGATACCAGGAGTGGTCTCTAATATAATTTGTGCTTATGGATCATTAAGTCTAGTTTCGATTGTGGTACATTTATATTATATATTAATCATTATTAATCTAAAAAATAATCAAAGTATAATAACAAAAAAAAATAAAAAAAAAATTTAAAATAAAAGATAAAGTAAACATTCATAAGGTTTCATCATGAAAAATGTCTATTTTTTACCGTATCAAATTTCACGTTGCTTGTGCTAACTCATATGTGATAAGATTGCAGAAAAGTAGTAATAGCCGTTGTTTTTAGGCTTTTAGGCGTTGTCCATAACCAAATTTTAATTTTTGGGGAACAGCTGGGACACCCTAATATATATATTATACTATTGCAATCGAATAAGTGAACTTTATGAAAAAGTGTTGTTTAATTAATTTATATTTTCAATATAAAATAATGTTGAGAGGTTAACTAGACAAAAAGAAAAAATTGCTGCGTCATTTGAAGAAGAATGAAGTTTTAAAAAATAAATGGAAAAAAGTGTGTGTAGTTTTTATTTAAGTTCGTCCGTAAATAAATATGGTTAGTGGTAATTACGGACAAAAATTAAAAAATAAAGATTTTAGTAAAATTACTAAATCTTTATTTTTTCTTATTACTTCTTTTAGATTGTTCAACTAGTCTTTTTTTAAAGCAAGTTTATCAAATAAGTAATAACAAAAATAACAATGGTAATAACAATAATTTTTGCTCTAACTAGTGATTTATCTAAATTTTAGTGGAATATTTCCGTAAATGTCCATTTCTACGGTGCGATGGAAATTGAAATAAATTATTTTATACAATATAATAAATTTTTATTTGACAAATTTTGCAAACATTCAAACATTTTGATAAACCTTGACCTTTTATAATATTAAAGAAAATACTCTGAATTAAATGTGGTAATTAGGTATTTTGAAAAGTATTTCTAAAGTGATGGCAAAATATTTCTGATTACCTAATATTTATAGCAAAAAACAGTTTTAATTTTGTATGTACATATGTAAATACTTGTTCATATGAACAAAATACACAAACATAGAAGAATAAAGAAGTAACAGACAAAGTTTAAATCTTTTTTACTAGATCCTTGAACTTTGAGAACAGTCAATATTCTTTTCTGGACAGAGGCAACAAAAAAATTTTGAATAACGTTGAACATTGATTTATGACACTACACTTTCATTATGGAATCTCTCATATCTGCTAGATTGGTTTCTAGTTAGAATTTCTGCTTTAATTTACGCAATAGTTTTCAATGAGATTAATATAGGGAGAAGAGACAATAACCATATCTTTCCAAATGTTGCCATTTGGCAACACAAATTTAAATTCAAAAATCAAACCTAATGTAATGTAATGCTCAAATTTCGCTACTTCTTACTAGATGACAACATATGCAATTTAAAAATGAACGCGCCAATTCGCAATTGTTTTTTGAAAATACTGAATGTCATTGTAACGTTTTTTTTTCAATTTTATAAATCGGGAAAAAAAGGGTTAATTGCATTTTTATGGAGCTTTATGTCTTGCCAATATTTTCACATATATTATCAATATATTCCAGCAATTCTAGAAATAATTTCCAACAATTATAATTTGTGTTGTAATTATTGCCTAATTAATTTCCCTAATGTAATTACTGTTGGTTTACACCTTTTACAGCAAGATAAGAACTCAACCTTGTAAAATATTTGGATGTAATAAAAAACAACATGTCTAATTTGGTTTGAATTAAAAAGTTTGATATTTTCTTTAATTACAAAAAGACATAACTGACCCAATGGGCACAGGGCGTCCTTGGACGTCCATTGGAAGTACTGTTTAGGTCCACATTCGTCCAAGTCAAAAATAGTACATCTAAATATAATTCAAAATATAATTCAAAACTAACTTCATATTCAGAAAATATAATTCAAAATTAACTTCATATTCAGTTCTTTATTGTGGACCTTACTTGTGGAAAATGTTTCCCAAGATTGTAAATACACATAAAACTAGTATAGAACAATTTAAGAATGAATCAAAACAGGCATTCTTACTCATGGATTTTAATATATCTGATTTTAAATGTTTTTTTCAACTAAAACTTAAATACATTAATACAAAAGTTACACTCAGTGACATAACTTTGATACACTCAGTGACATAACTTTTGTATTAATACTTAAAATTATTAATACAAAAGTTATGTCACTGAGTGTATCAATATTATTTTTTCATTACCTTAATATGGTATTACCTCTATGGCGTTTGCTAATTTATTTACGTTATTTCTATAAAGTATACTAATTTATTTTTGTTATCTCTATGGTATACTTTTTTTTTTTTTCACTTTTTATTTTTAAATCTTTGTTTAAACTTTTAAGTTTTAAGCAAATGATAATATCTTATTTATTTATTTATTTTTTCACTTGATCTTACTCTTTCTTCAAATTTTGATTCTTTTTATTTTTTCTTTAAATGACAACGAATTTTTATCTATTTTACTTTTATATTTTTCTTTTTTTAATAAATAGTTTGTTAACTATAGATATTTAAATATTACGGTTTTTGTAAATACGTGAGTATGGGGCTCGGTGATAAGGCTAAATAAGTCTTCTTCTTGCCCCGCCAATATTTATTTTTATCTATATGCTTTGAAACTGTATATTATTAAACGGCAAATTAAACAATTAAAAAGAAAAAAAAAAATCAGTTATCAATTTTTTTGCTGAAAAACTCAACAATTTAATTATAGTTATCGAATAATAACTTACAATTTAACGAGATAATAATATTTATCTATTTAGATTCATAAATCTAATTAACAAATATGAACTAAAAAGGGTCATCATCATATATGTATACATATATATATATATATATATATATATATATATATATATATATATATATATATATATATATATATATATATATATATATATATATATATATATATATATATATAATATATATATATATATATATATATATATACATATATATATATATATATATATATATATATACATTTATATATATATATATATATATAAATATATATATATATATATATATATATATATATATATATATATATATATATATATATATATATATATATATATATATATATATATATATATATATATATATATATATATATATATATATATATAAAATGATTATATAATAATGTATAAAATAAATTTCAAAAAATTTACAAAAGTTCAAAAATGTATGTTTACAAGAAAAATTTGAAATTGTTACTTATTTGGATCAAGAAAATTCACAAAATATCTGAATTAATTTCTTAATGCAGACATAATAACTACCTTTTTAAGAAACGATAAAAACAAATGACTTAACTAAAATTATCCTATTTCTTCAGAATTTTTTTTCATAATTAATTTTTTAATTTTAATGTTGTTAATGCAACTTCCTCATTGCAAAACAACTACAGCAGGCCTTCTCGTAAGAGGCGTGCTATCGCACGCCTTATATGACCACGCGTAAAGTTCTTTGTGTTAACAACTTTTTTTTTTTTTTTTTTTTTTCGTTCTTTAATTTTACAACTTTGTGATTTAATAAATATTCGTTAACAATGTACATATATATATATATATATATATATATATATATATATATATATATATATATATATATATATATATATATATATATATATATATATATATATATATATATATATATATATATATACATGATCGTTATTAAGAAATAAAAGGACGCGGGAACTCGTAGAAGACCGTAAGGTCTTGTCGTCGAGAACCGCTAAAAAATTTTCGTGTTAATATTTCATATTAATAAAATATTCTCAAAATAAATAAACTTTCAATAGGAATATATACTTAACAGATAACTTGAAGATAACAAATAATTAAGATTTAAGAATTGAAAACATAAACAAATTTAAAGAAAAAAAGAAAAAGAAAAACGGTTCCGTTATAAATGCATAGATGCGTTATACAGTTTTAAGATATCTTTAGCACAATTGTTAAACTTTTTGTTAAAGGTTTTGTTATACAGTTTTAAGATACCTTTAACAAAAGTGTTTAACAACTATTTACAAATTGTTAAATTATAAAATTTATTAATGCAGTGTTAAATATAAAGTTAAAAAAAGAAACAAAAAATTAAAAGAATATAGATATATCATCTAATAAAAAAATGACTTTTTTAAGTTTTTGTTTGAAAGAGTGATAGCTAACTTCTTGAGAAAAGTCAAAATTCTTTAAAACTATTTTATTCCAAAGTAATGCTCCTCGAAATGAAATACAGTATTTTCCAGAATTAGTTTGATAAGCTGATTGACGAATATTATTATCATTTCGTAAAATGTACTTAGTTTTTTCTTTTTTGTTATACAAATTATGAAAAGGTACAGGAGAAATATTGTTTTTACATTTTAACATAAAACATATAACGCTAAAAATATTAAGCTCATATATATTTAAGACTTTCATTTCATTTAATAGAGGCTTGGCATGAGTAAATCGATCCTTAAAATTAATAAGGCGTGCAACATGTTTCTGTTGACGATAAAGAGGTTCCAGTTTACTTTTATTAGTACTACCCCACGCAATGTTCGCATAGTTAATGTGACAATGAATGAGCGAATAATATAGTTTAAGTAATGCATGTTTATTTAAAAAACACCTTGCTTTGTACAAAATTCCTATGCTTTTTGATATTTTACTACTCAAATTTTTTATATGACTTTTCCATGACAAATTTTCATCAATATAAATACCAAGAAAGTTTGTAACTGTTACTTTTTTTAGAAGTATATTATCAATAAAAAGCAGTGGCATTTCATTTGGTATAAGATTTTTTTTGTGATTTGGATGGAAAAAAATCCATTTCGTTTTATCAATATTAAGAGACAGTTTATTTGTCTTAAACCAATCAGAAATTCTTACTAGTTCATTATTGATATTCTGAAATAACAATGTAATATCATTATGAGATAAAAATAAGTTTATGTCATCTGCAAACATAATCGTCATTAAATTTGAGGCTTTATGGAGATGGTTGATGTATATAAGAAAAAGAAGAGGCCCTAATATTGATCCCTGAGGAACTCCACAGGTTATATCAAGCAAGTTTACTGGTGAAACTACATCAACGTATACAAATTGCTTTCGATTATCTAAATAGCTTTTTAACCAATTTAAAACACTTCCGTTTATACCGTAAATCTTTAGTTTATTTAAAAGAATATTGTGGTCTATTGTATCGAAAGCTTTAGCTAAGTCAATAAAAACCCCAACTGTATATTGGGAGTTTTCAAAAGAGTTAGTAATACTTCTTGTAAACTGGAGAACTGCGTGTTCTGTCGAGTTATTTTTTTTGAATCCATATTGATTGCTATATATTAAATTGTTTGTTGTATAAAATTCTCTCCAAGACTTTTGAAAATGCAGATAGAATAGAAATGGGACGATAGTTGCTAACATTAGTTAAATCACCTCCTTAAAATATCGGAATCACCTTTGCTATTTTTAGTTGGTTAGGAAAAATTCCTTGCCTAATAGAACAAGAAAAAATCTTAAAAAGTACATCTTTAATGATTTCATATGATTTAATAACAATATTTACATTGATATCATCCGCACCTGCGGATTTGTTGGGTTTTAGCATTTTAAAAGCACATTCAAACTCTTCAAAAGTTAGTTCAAAAGAATTAAATTGCGGTGTATTAGGGATAAATAGATTACTTATTGGATTAATTGCTTGAGGAATTTTTTGGGATAACTTTGGTCCAACAGAAACAAAATATTTATTCAGCTCGTTAGCTATCTCTTCTTTATCATACAAAAATTTATTATTTGATTTGATGGTTTTAGGCAATGTGAGTGTGTTCATTTTAAAACTGCCTGTGATTTCATTTATAACTTCCCATGTGCGCTTAGAATTTAATTTATATTTCTCAAGTAAATCATTGTAATAATTTTTTTTAAGATTTTTTCTTTGACGTTCGAATTGTTTGGCGTAACTTTTATATATAGCTTTACTTTTATCTGTTTTTAGTTTTAGGAATTTAATGTACAATTTTTGTTTGATTTTGGATGATTTTCTTAACCCTTTAGTAATCCATGGGGATTTTATACTTTTTAATTTACAATGTATTTTGATTTTTGGAAAATTAACATTAAGTATATCAAAAAAAGTTTTAAAAAATTTGTTGTAAGCCAGGTTAGCATCATCTAAATTGGAAATGTGCCTCCAATGAAGAAGAGACAATTGCTCTTTAAATGTTTTCAAATTCTTTTCATTAAAAATACGTTTAACAAAAATTTGATTTATATTTGGTGACATTTCCATTTTAGTATTAATGGAAAAGAAAACAGGGAAGTGATCAGAAATGTAACTTTTAATTATGCCTTTTTTAAGAGATTCGTTAAACAAATCAGTTGTTATTATATTATCAATCAGGGAAGATGTTGATTGAGTTATTCTGGTTGGTTTGGTGATTAGTGGAACCGCACCATTTTCAAAAATATCATTATAAAAACTTTTAATGTTGGGTTTTACGTGATATTAGAAGCAACATAAATTTAAATCACCTATTAAGTAGTTAAATTTCTTTTCATGATTGGTTTTTTTAATTATATCATGATGTAAATATGAACTAAAACTTTCAATTACACCAGATGGTGGGCGATAACAACAACTAATTATAATATTTTTAGCTTTTTTAATAATTAATTCAATTGATAAAACCTCTTTATTGCTATCAGAGATACTCATGTCAAGCCTGGTTAACAATTTCAAGCGTTCATTTACGTAAATAATCACGCCGCCACCACGTTTATTGGTTTTACGCGCTAATGAAATCAATTTATATCCAGGCTTGACGCGCTAATGAAGTCAATTTATATCCAGGCTTGAAATCAATTTATATCCATAACTTGACCACGGCTCTTTGCAAGTTTTGATAATTTGCGCGTTTAAAACATGCGCTAAAAAAAAGCAAAGCAAATTAAAATTAAAATAAACAATCCATAAACTGAAAAGAGAATAAAATCCTTAAAACAATTTATAATGCAAAAAGTAACCTAAAAAAATAAAATTTTCAAAGAATGATAAAATAAATAATAACCAGAAAAAAAAAATCATAACATTTATTAATTAATGTAAACTTAGTTGTAAAGGAAAGTTAAAAAAAAAATTACAGCTCTAATAATCTTTATCATTCCTTCCCATGAATAATTAGGCTAACACAAGGGCGAATTCATTGTAAGGGAAAGGCTCTCCCCTCCCCTCAGATTTTTTATTTATTTTTTTAGAAATTGATGTTTAAAAACGTAAGTAACTTAGGCTGTTTTAAAGTGCCATGAAATTTAATAAAATTTTGTGGTGCAAGTTTAAAATTTCAAATCGACTAAAGTGCGCGCATTTCTTAAAAGACAGACAGAAAAACAAACATCACGTTTCTATAAGTTTGCTTATGCAAACGTTGCCGTTTGATTAGGATTTTTCAAAACGAACGTATCACTTTAGCAATTTTTTTCAAAATAATTTTGCGATTATTAAATTTTTTATTTATTATAAAAAACACACATTTAATATGAAGAACAATTAACTTCACAGACTTAAACTAATGCCAATACTATGTCACGAAAACACTTAAATACATGGGTTTCCTTATAAAATAAGTTAAACAAAGTATATATCCTTGGAAAGCAGGCAAAATTTAGAATATAAAAATTAAAAATAAGAAAGTAAAAAACTTAAATCTATGACGTCTACATTATTCACATTGATAAAGAAGCTTTGCGAATTTTAAATAGTTTCGAATTAAGCCTTTCAAATAGCTAGCTATATTGTTTAAAAAGTAAATAAAGGCTTGTAAAACGGTGCAAAATTTATTCAGCTTTCATTTGATGGGTCACTTTTCTAACTTAGATAATTAGAAATTAAATAATTAACATTCTTCTCGGGTGACGTCAAATTTTTTTTTTTTTTGCCTCATTTTGTTATTCAATAAAAATATTAAAAATACCTATAAGGAAAAGTAACTAATTTGATGGGATACTTTCCTTATTTAGATAAATAAAAAATAATAAACCCACCCTTTCCTGTTCCTGCAAGATGATGGTGCTTTAGTCCATCAATATCTTTTCCAGTGTAAATTAAGAACTCTGATATGTACCTGGTAGATGGCTCTGCCATTACCCAAGCTTTTATTCCAAATCTTGTACGTTTGCTTGGAATAAATCGTTGGAAAGAGATTCTTCCTAAAAAAGGTATCATACTCTCATCAATGCAAATGTCTCTTTTTGGTTTATAAAGATTTCTTAACTTAGGACAAAGGTCATCCTTGAAGAGTTTGTCGTATCCTTCATTACCCCTTGGTATTGTTGCTGTCTCATTGCAAAAATGAAGATAACGGTAAATTTGTCTAAATCGATCACGAAACATTACTTTACTAAAAGATGGAATAGCAAAAAACGAAAGTTTTGTCTCCAGTAATCATGGATGCATGAAAGTTTTATTATTCCCATGGCTAAACAAATTGCTATATATACTTTGATATCATTTGGCGTAATATCAACCCATACCATTCTATGCTTTATAGGAGAAGATTGTAACCTTCTTGAATGGTAGTTATTGTTCCAGAGACAAGTTTTTGTATTAAAGTATTATCAAAAAACAATTCAAAGAGATGGATTGGTTTGATATTTCCATCGCAATTAGGTATTGCAGATCTTCTAAATGTTGGTCCTGGTGTTGCCATAAATGGAGTAATAGTTCTAATAATTTTATTTTTTTTCTATTCTCTATTATCTTTACTAATAGTAGGTTTTTTGGTCTTAATGGTATGAAGTCGTTTACTAGTTGATTGTTTACAGATTTTTCTTTTATTATTTACAGTATCATTGCTATCAGCAAATGCTATTGTAAAGAGTCCTTTATTATCATTAGTTACTAAATTATTAATAGAAAAGGCGAAATCTATATTTTCTGTTAAATCATCTTCGGAACTAACATATTCTTCAGATGATGAAGATGAAATTATTTCTGATGATAATGACCGACTCGGCGATAACTCCATCGTTAATGGAACTGTTGTTGAGAAAATATCAGGCACCAGTTCTTGGAATTCGTTGTCATCATACTCTGAAGACTCAAAAGACAAATCACTAACATCGTCTTTTTCATCAAGGATTTGAAGAACTTTATTTGTATCATTTATAATCCTATTTCTCAAAGCCATCTTGGCTGAAACCGACAAACAGCTACATATTTTTGTCAATTATCTTCAGTGTTTTGTACATAAAAACTATTCGTAAATTAAAAATTCTCCTAAGCTCAATTTATATGTGTAGAAGCACAAAAGATTAATATTTAAGACTAAAAGGCTTGAACTATAACTTTTAGAGAGGTTTTTTGATTGGTATATCCAAGGCATATGTGTGCCTTCGGTACGAAAGGGTTAAAATGAATGCTTTTGCAAAACTTCAAAAGAAACCATGCTCAAACGATTCGATTGTTTTCTTTTATTGAGAAAAGCGATCGTAACGTTTAACGATGGTTTCTTTTATGTTATTAGCAAATACATTGAAAGTCAAATGTATATACATTTGCCTTAAACTTTTAATGGAAACTTTAAACTTTATGGAAAACTTTATGGAAAATTTAAACTTTATGGAAAATAGGAAATTAAAAAAAAAAAAAACATGCTAAATTTTATTTATAAAGATTACGTATTCTTTATATATTCTTTATAGTTATAGTATTCTTATATTCCATAAAGTAAAATAATGTTTGATTGCATATTAAAACTTTTGCTTTTTAAAAGTTTTTTTATTGTGCATTTATCATTAATTTGCGCGCACTTTGCAAATATGTAAAAAAAAGGTTTTTGTAAAAATAAAAATTATATAAATTTACCAAGCATCTTTGATATATTTAATAACTTATTGACTTGAATAAAAATTATTTGAATTTTACTTGACGTAAATCTCTTAAATTAGACGTTCGTCAATAAATAAAGATACACGAGTCAACATTCATTTAAAAAAAAACGACGTGTCACTCTAATCTGAATATTTTTTTCAATAATTGCCTTTAATTAAGTTGCATATATATAATTGCCTTTAATTAAGTTATATATATATATATATATATATATATATATATATATATATATATATATATATATATATATATATATATATATATATATATATATATATATATATATATATATATATATAATTTATATATATATAAATAATAAAAAAAAAAATATTTTATTGTTATTCAATTGAAAAAAATTAAATTGTTATTAAAATTTTTATTAATTGAAAAATTTTGCTAAAGAAAAGTTGGTAAATATTTTTAATTTTAATTAACTACGTTTCCTTAGTTAAATTCAACTTTCTTTAATTTTAGATTGTTTAGCACAATTGTTATTAAAGAAGATCGGGCAATACAAAAACTGTTGTGCCATTTCTTTGGGTTGACCCATGTAATGGTATCATGTTTTATCCACCCCGAGGACGTAAAAGGAGTTTATCTTTCTGAATAGGCAGAGGCAGAGGCCGGGTGGTAAGAGTTTAAGTTTGTTGAATATATCCTTGAAGCTGGTAGCTATAAAACTTGCAAATCCATGTTAATGTTTCAAACTGAAGATGAGGATGATGACAAACCTAGTAAAATGTTTATACCTCACCCTGTTGTATAATTAATGATTAGGAATATATAAGTGATGACCACTCATTGACATACATACATACATGCATACATACATGCATGCATACATACATACATACATACATACATACATACATACATACATACATACATACATACATACATACATACATACATACATACATACATACATACATACATACATACATACATTAAAGTATATATACATGCATGCATTGAATGTTTTATAATTTATAATTTATCAGTTTCTCAAAAGTTTAAAATGAAAGAAAAAGAGAGAGTGGCTAGTCCAAAACTAAAGATGAGTGGATTAAAAAAATATTTAAATATTCCTCATAATGTATATATATATATATATATATATATATATATATATATATATATATATATATATATATTATATATATATATATATATATATATATATATATATATATATATATATATATATATATATATATATATATATATATATATATATATATATATACCCAGTGGTAAAAAAGACATCTTTAGACGAATAGAAGGCGTCTTTTTTATGACTTGTTATGTCTTTTTATAATTGGCCTAAATAACAACGTGAAAAGGCGTCTTTTAAAAAGACGTCTTCAAAAAAAAATGTTAACTTCATCTGTGTTGCTAACGATATCGCCAAAACATAAAATCATAAAATTTTATGTTGTTAAGTAAAGCATCCTTATGTTTCAGGCTAAAATAGAGCTTTAACTAATACTTTTTTCTAGTTTAAATGAATAAAAACTCTCAAGGTGTATTAGCTGAATTATCTTTTTGTTTTTATAGTCTTTAGTCAATAACGGATTTTTAAATTGTTATAAGTCTACAACACTTAATTTTAGCGAAATTCAATTAAAAAATCATATTATAGAAGACAGAAAAATTCCAATATCTGTTTTCAATAACTTGGCTTTCATAGCAAATCTGAGTGGTGCAAATGTTTAGCTTGATTTAAGTACTACATAATAAAATGCATCGTTGTACTGTCATTTTGATGGTTGTAAATTTATTTAGCGCACTCATTTTTATATATTTTTAGACTGTTTACCGTTTAACTTCTGTCCCAATCTAACTTAGTGAGTTCAAAAAGGTGGGACCGCGCTGGAAACATGAAAGGATTAAAAGGATCAGCCCTTTTTGAATTAATAGTCGGTAAGTATAATGTGCTCCACTCAGCTAATTAAGTTTCGTTTGCTTTTTTTTATTACATTTAAGCAATAGACTGTTTTTTATGTTCACTCGTTTTTTAGAATTGGTAACCAGCTAGAGGTCGTAACCTGCTCGTATGAAAGGATTTCTCGACGTGAAATTGTTAATTTTATTCAGCAACGCCAAAAACAGAGATCGCTCAAGAAACAGAAAAGAAAAAGAAAGATGAAAAAATATTCTGTTGAACAATACTATTGTTTTATTTATAATTTATTCTCCTATATTTAAATATACCTAAGATGTAGAAAATACTTCCTCTTTTATATTGAAGTCTAAAAGAGGTTTTTTTCTCGGCATCGGAAAAAGCTTTTTGTTATACTTTGTATGAAGAGCTATTATCATTTTCATTTGAAAAAAAAAGCTTTTCATATAAGAAAAGTAGGAATACTATAGTGTATAGGATACTATAGTATACTAATAAGTATGGCAAAAAAGTCATTCCAACCCCGAGAAAAAACACTTTTTTAGATTTGCATATTAGACTAAAAAAAACGTCTTAAAGGCGCATTTTGTTATGTCTTTTCATGGCAAGATTAAGGATAAAAAAAGACGTCTTTTCGATAACGAAAAAAGATGTCTTTTAGATTTGCATATTCGACTAAAAAAGTGTCTTAAAGACGCATTTTTTATGCCTTTTTATGACAAGGTTAAGATAAAAAAAGACGTCTTTTCGATGTAGAAAAAAGATGTCCTTTAGATTTGCATAATCAATTAAAAAAAGACGTCTTAAAGATATCGTAAATAAGACTTTTAAAGTCGTCTTTTCGACATCTTTGTTCCCACTGGGTATATATATATATATATATATATATATATATATATATATATATATATATATATATATATATACTCATGGTAGTCAGCAAGAGTATATATATATATATATATATATATATATATATATATATATATATATATATATATATATATATATATATATATATATATATATATATATATATATATATATATATATATATATATATATATATACTCATGGTAGTCATGGGGCTCACAGTGGCTGGTGAACTTTAATTCAGATAAATTTTTTTCGGCCGATTGTTATCGCAATAGTTTAGGTCTTCCTATATTTATGAACCATAATGTACTCGATGAGTCTCCTACCCTTCATCTTCTAGGATTAACTCTTACTTCTGATCCTTCTTGGAAACCTTATGTCAAATTCATTGCAAAATTAGCATCTGTTAAAGTTGCTTCTCTTTCTCGACCTCGTCACTTTCTTACTCTGGATTCTATTCTCTATCCCTATAAATCTCAAATCTGGCCTTGTATGAAATGCTGTTGCCATATCAGGAGCGGATCTTTTAATGAT